GCACTGAGTGCCTCATCCACGTCCTTTGGAATGTCTACAGAAGTGTGCATCAGTGGTGGGATTCAATTTTTTTTACTATCGGTTCTGTGGGCATGGCTTGGTGGGCATGGCAGGGGAAGGATACTGAAAATCTCCAGTCAGAGATGGTATTTGTTGGTTCTCTGAACTACTCAAAATTTCTGCTACCGGTTCTCCAGAACTGGTCAGAACCTGCTGAATACCACCTCTGGTGTGCATCTTAGTAAAGCAGTATTTAATAATTTAATTATTAAAAATGAATGTATATTTATTTCTTGCCATACCCTAAAGCAAATAAAGCTCATTACTTTGGCGGATTGTTACATAAATCCCTCCGCTCAGAATCACTTTGTATGGAAGATGGGTGGCATAAAAATTCCATAAACAAACATTTTTAACAGATCACAGTGATATAAATTTTAAGTATTCTTTGAGTAAATATCTCTGTCTCTTGTTTTTCTGTCTCTACTAAGTTTAGCTCAGTTGATTTTTTTCATTCACAACTTGCTAATATGAATTTTATTTCTTATATAAAACTAGATTTTTGGTCAGTGTGCAGACTTAGCATAATACTGAATCTCCACGGTTCTTAAGCATTAATTAAAAATTAATTTAATTTTTTAAAATTCCATGCTGATGGCAATTGTTATCCTGCAACATATGGTCTGAATTAATTACTTCAGCTCTCAGTTCAAAAGCTTATTCCAATAGATAATGCCTGCATGCCTCAACTAGGGCAAATACATAGTCACATTTAGATTAAATCGTAACATTTACCTATCTTGTGCTCCAAAAAACAGTTGCAATCAGAAAGTAACACTTGACTCAATATGGCCTTAACCGTGACTATAATTGTTTGCGAGCTGCTTCTGTCATGATAAATTCTTAGCATTAATTAGAGTATTCCACTGCTCTGATAATCTCTTTTATTGGATCAGCCAGATCAGATTAACCAGATGGCACCATTTCTGGGAACATCAATATTTTCTCACAGCCCCTCCTAGCTGGAATATTTTATTCAAGTTTAGAATGGCATTTTACAACCTTGGCTATTTTAAAATAAGTGGATGTCAACTCGCAGAATTCCCCAGCCAGAGTATAGCTGGTTGGGGTATTCTGGGAACTGAAGTTCACCCATCTTAAAGCTGCCAAGGTTGACAAACACTGGTTTAGAAGAGTGAGATTTCCACAGAACATACTAGAATTGCAAAACTTCTGGTCTAATCTTGAGCTCATAATGCAGAGCTTTACCAATCAAATGACTTATAAATATAAGATAGAAAACCTGAAAGGAATACATATCTATTGTTATGCAAAACAATATTTTGATGGCCTGAAAGGTAAATTACTTTCACTGTAGCTCCATGATCAAGATTCAAACCCACAAATAATCATTAAAATCCTTCCCGATATCTCTTTAGTCTTATCTGAAAGAAACAGAAGATGGTTCAAAGAGAGGATTGATTTGTTCAGATGTTCAGAAAAGAGAGGCACTAATATTAAGGGTAGCAGGAACCGGTACCATGAAATCTTGCTATTCAGAATGGATCCTGAACACAATCTATAAGTAACATTCACTTTGCTAAAATTGAAAAATATTGATTATAATGTTTCAGAATGTTGGTTGGATTATTATCAAAAAATTATTATGGAAGCTTAGTAGGATTTGGTGGATTACAGAGCAGTTGTGAAGCATACATGGCTGGTGGGATAAGGTGATCAGGTGTACTGTCTTCTAATAACAATTAACTAAGAAAAACAAATCTGGTACCGTAAAACAAAGTTCAACAGGACCAAACTATAAGTGATACTTAGTTTTGTACCTGCATAGCTAGTTACAGAAATAAAAGTTAACATGGGGAAAGAGGTTACATCAGTCTGAAACTTTGTGCGTGCACTACAAGTCTCTGATGGAATTATCCCACCTTCACCCATTATTTGGAGGGGCTGGAACCAGTGGGCAATTTCCTCCATTTTATAAATGGGAAAAGAAAGACAGGCTTCCTTTTGCTTGAGGAGCAGGAGAGTGCAAAAGATAAAAAATGCCATTTCATCCCCAAATACATCAATTATCAAGATTCTTCATTTGCTGGTTGGTTCACTTTTAAAAGATATCAGCTGTACACTAAAAGGCCAAAAAAGGGTAATAAAATGTGACAATATCTAATTTGGTCAGTAATGAAAGTAGCAGCAATTTGTAAAATGCAAAGACCTTACTTATCGCCCTCAGCGAATTAAAGACGGATCGCAGTTTTCCTCATTACAGAATTATATCCTCCTCAAAAATATGTTTTCAAGTTATGTGCTCAGAAGGAGGTAATAAAATCTCATTCTTGTGCGAGATACACAACTTTAGTTTTTAAAGAGCAGTTGAAAGGTGTAACACAAAGCTGCCAAAATCACACCTTTTGTTCTGGACTGCTTCCTTTATTTTACCAGCATGATGGACATCTGGATTTAGATCTTTAAAATCTCTGTTTCCTATAGGCAGCTACAAAGAAAGTGGGAAAGCATGACTTAGTTGCTCTGAATGTATATTTGTAATGTTTCATTAGGCCTCCAAAGAGACTAACAAGAAACTTTAATAGCTCAATCTAATAAAATGCAGTTCTACCTCCAAAGGAAGCAAAAAAACCCCACCCAAATAAATGATTAACACTTAGGCCAAAGATCAGTTTAAGAAGAATATGATCATGTAAACCTATGGTCAAAGAGAACTTCATTCAACACTTTAAGACTGACCTTGTACCAGTTATCAAATGCTATTCCAGATACTAGCACTAGTTCCAAAACAGATTCTTGAAGGACCTCAGAATCTTTGTAAGAATTCTGTTTATTTCCCCTCTTATTGTCCATAAGTTATTATTTAATTTACTTAATTTATTATTTCATTTAGCAATTATTGTCCTTAAGTGTTGTGTATATAGTACAGGGGAAGTAGCTTCTTAAAAAGGTTGCACGTAGTGAAATGTCCCTATTGCTACTTATCATTTGGTGCACATGTTAGAGATGGACAGTATTCTTAAATTCATGCTACACTGACAGCCTAAACTCAGTCAAATAGTTTCTTCTTCTACCTTGTGAATCAAATAATAAAAAAAGGAATGCAAAAGGGATGTGCAATTACAGCATAATATAGGAAATCTGAGGCCTTCAAGCTCCCACCAAACTGTAACTCCCAACATCCCACTTTCATTATCCATGGGAACTGGAGCTGTTGGGAGTTGTGATTCAGCAACATACGGATAAAGTAACTTTTTGCATTATGAATTGGTATCTATTAAAGTACAAAAAGCAAAGAGGAGAGACAAAATAGAATTCTTACAATGAACACAAATTTTGAAGTCCTCCAATGATCTTATTTGGACCAATGCTATTTTACCAGTAAGGGGTAAGCACGCATTGTAGAAAATAGCTAATACATTGAAATTCTGAAAATTATATCAGATGAACCTATCTACAAGGATCCTTCCCAGCTGCAAAGATTAAAATGACAACAGTGAAGGGAAGCAAAATGCCCCCAAAATGATATTCCTAATTTCATTCCTGTCAGATCTCCCCCCATCTCTCTCCCACCTCCCCCTCTCCCTCTCCCTCTTTATCCTGAACTATCAGGAAAGTAAAATCTGGAACAGGCCGGTGCAAAAGAACGAATATGTTTCTTTGTATTCAGAAAAGGATGATAATGAAATAATTGAGATTCAGTGCTTAGAGCAACTTTTTTTGATTATACAATATTTTTAGTGTTTTGAAAAAATGATGGCTATGGGAGTGGAGGAGAGATGGTGGAAGATTATAAAATTAACTGAATGTTTGATTTTACCATTATCATTTAAGAATCACCTGTCAAAATTAGCTGGCAGTAGATTCAGGACAAAAGTAAATAGCCCCTTAAGGAATTTACTATCTCTGAAATAATTAAATAATTCGTAAAGGAGGATTAAGCAAACACATAGTAGTGAATAAACCTAACAGCAGATATTAACAGAGAAGCTGCTAAAGCTAAACTGGCAGGGATTATTGATTCCTAGCCAGGAGGAAATTGAGAGCATAGTGATAGGAGAGGAGGAAAAGAATCTTTGCTGGAATCCTCTGCTTGTGCACTTTCCAGCGGTGGTTTGTTGGCTGTGGCACTGGATTAGATACATTCTTGCCAAAACCGTTTAGCTTATTTTATATTGTTAAGCAGCTTCTTCAGAATTCCCTGCAATCTGCATTTGTGATAAATGGGCTCTACGTGACTCCTCTTTACATATTAACTTTTCAAAGAATGTAGCCTGCTCCTTCTTCCACTTTCCCTAACAGGGACCTTTTCTTCTTAGTGAGAACATTTGTCTTGTGATGTTTGGAATCTGAGCAGTGAAATAATATTGATGATTAGGGGCTGGGTAGGAGACTTCCATCTAACGGTTACTCCATTGCATTTTCCGTTTCACTTCTGTAGCAATTTGAGGGCCATTGAAGAACTGCAGAAGAAATGAATGAAGATCATTTCTCTTCCTATCCCTTTTGGTGTGGGGTTAATCGCGAACCCTTCCGTGCAATCTATGCAGGGGTCACATCTGATTTCTTCTGTCTTGAGCAGAACAAAGAGAATGGAGAAGCAGCAGCCCTAGGCTTCATATCAACAATTACAACTTCATCGCAAAAGGCAAGGCCAAAAGGAAGGAGAAGGTTTCAATAATTAATAAAAAGACATACTGACTTTGAGCTGAGGCCTCATCTAAAGGTCCTTGAGAACATAAAACAGATAATTGAATTGGAAGGAAGCTTGGAAGTTTCCTAGTCCAGCCCCCGCTGGTCGGGTAGGAGACCATATACCATTTCAGGCAAATGGTTGTCCAGTCTCCTTTTTGAGAGTCTCCAGTGATGATGAGCCCACAACTTCTAAAGGCAAGCTATTTAGAAAAAGCTGAAGGAAAAAAAAAACAGAAAGTTGGAGAGGAATGAAGATGCAGAAATAAGCAAGTATGAAGAGGTACCTTTTCTGACCGCCATTAGGAAAAGGGCCATAACGAGCACCTCCACCAGATCCATTTCTCTTGAGTGTATATTAAAAACAAAGATCTTCAGAGTTGGGCAAAAAAAAAATTCCCCCAGCAAGCTTTGTGTTTCATTCTCCTGACGTTGTAACTAATTTCCATATAGCAACATCCCTCACTCACTTGTGGTTTCACTCATCGAGAAACTGTCAATATGGTCCTAAACTGAGTGGCAGCTCAAGGAAGCTGAAAAATACAGCAGAATGAGGAAAGAGTATTCAGAGGAGTGGAGGGGGGAACAAAATGAAACTCTTATCAAATGATACCGGTGATCAAGATGCTACAAAGCAAGCATTAGGACTTCCTCCAGGAGAAGCGATGAGATACAGAGGCTTGATAGTTTTATCTTGCTTCTTTTTCTCAGAAACACGCCATTTAGCTGTTGCTTTTCCTCTGCAATAAACTTATTCCCTTTCCTTTTGATGGGTTGAATTTTAATGAAGATTGTTGATGTCAATTGTGAAATTATACAATTCCATGCATTGTTTTTGAACCAGCCATTGTTTCTATCTTTTTAATCTTTGGGTTCATAGTCTCTTTGGTTTGATATCCCCTCATTTCCTGCCATAAAACTCAATGAGAAACCATTCAGTCGCTAATTGAAAAAGATGGGCACTTGAAGCCAAGGTGAAATGTCTTTGGGCAATTTCTTAAGATCCTTCAATTCAGCTCAATCCTACCTCCTTAATGATTTCCTTTTTCTGTAATATCATTTCTACTGGACTGTCCATGCACTAGCTTTTAATTTACTGTTTCTAAGCCAAAGAAATGAGAAAACACAAGGTGCGGGTAAAAGATGTCACCATATAGTTTTAATTTTAACATTGGCCTCTAGCCCCAGGAAGCTTTGAATCCCAGGAAGTTTTGAAATGCTGCCCTCCAATGGACTTTTGTCAGTACTACAGAAAAAGATGGGGAAAGACTCAGATGTCATGTTGACAGGTTGAATCCTCTACATGTTCTATCCACTTGTTCCTTAACACACCTGTTCGTTGGAGAATGGCCAGAAGAAAGCAGTGGTAAATTATGAAAAATTATGTTGTCTCCGTGCCGTTCAATGTTTTCTCTCTAGGGTGCCCCAGTGCCAGATTATCACTCATGCACCCATATGTGGGAGGAACAGCCTTCCTTCCTCCCAGCTTGTTTTCAGAAGCGCATGGAATGCCATTATAGTATCTGGCTCTGCTGGCTGAAAGTGTTCCCTCTGCAAAACCTCCATATGTTTGCAGTGCAGGAACGATAAGGGCAATGGAGAGAAAACACAATGGGCTTGATTGAAACAGGGAAGGTTGTAGCAGAGCTCAATATGAAAAATGCATCGCTGAGTTGCAATGAATGGACCTCAGGAATTTCTGATTGCACTTAATTTATCATTATTGGATGATAACAGATGGGCTTTAATCTCAGGACAGATGCTGATAATTGGATCTGTTGTTCTTATGCAGTTCTACTTTTTTGATTGCTATTGTCATATCCAAAGGGAAACTCATATGGCAAAATATGCAAGTCATATATATTGCCTACATCCCACTTTTCTGTTGTGCTAGTGATTTGGATTGTTGTTTCTCACCTGCCTGTATTTTATTTTTTATAGTGTTTTTATTGTCTTTATTTAATTCTACCTGAGCTTACTAAATGAGACAGGTAGTCATATTATACACTGGAAAAATAAATAAACAAACAAATAAATCCTATACCATTTTCATATATATCCCCACAGCTATTATTTAAAAAAAAAGAATTACTTCCCCCAGATATGTCTAAAAGCTTTCTTAAAAACAGATTTACATCATCAAAATGGCCTGAAACCCCCAGTATTACCTTCTGGTTTCTTGACACCAATTTTCTCTCATTCTAGACTGCCCACAGTTGTATGGGATAGTAAATGGGTGCATATAAATTTAATAATAAATAATTTTTAAATATGATTTAAATTGTGTAATTCCATTGGTTTATGTACTACAAATAGACACTTTTTTCTTCCTATTCATCATAGAACCATGATGGAAAAAAATAAACATGGTAATTCTGCCTCTTTGCAATCTGTTGAGGGAGTTAAATTCATGGTACCAGAGCAGATTTTAATTGGTAGATTCTCATGCCCAAGTAATTTTGACACAAAGGCTACATCTTACATATGAAGAAAGGTGAGAAGTATGTGACACTGGTTGTGCTTCAGCCAATCCCTGCCTTCAATATATCCACCCCTCCCAGATTGTGTTGGCCAGAACTTATTTCAGTGAAGAATTTTGACTTGCTCAACAATTCAACCACACAGTATGGTAAAATCCTTGTGGACAGGCAGTGATTAGCCTTGACAAAGTTCAAGGCAGAGCTGTTAAATATGCATGACGCTGTATTTACATGTGTTATGTGATATGCAAAGTGGAGTCTGATGTCAGACTCAACTCAGTGGTTCAGCCGCTGGTGGGAAGATTTGAATCCCATCAATGGCTGAAGTATTGGACAGCACTGGCTATAAAAAGCTGGCGCCTACCACGTTTGTTTGCTTTTTGATTCCGGCTTAAAAATAAAGAGTTTCTTTGCACTCCTGAGTCCTGCTCCTTCCTCACCCGCACCCATTTAACAAGACCAAAGGTGGTCTGTTTTGAAGAGTGGTTTGTTTCAATCTCAGGAGCTTGTGTTTTTGGTTCATGTGCTAGACGTGTACTAAATGAATATTTAGCAGAGCACCCCACCCACTCCCTTTTGCAGTTTAGAAGTGGGACTTTGCTTTTTAGTTTTGCTTCAAAAAGGCACTTTTGCTCAAGCCTTACAAGAAACAAAACATATTTTTCAAAGATCTGTACTGCCTTGGCGGACAGCACACATTTGATTTAGCCTGTCCCAGATGACATAAAGTAGAAACAAGATTTCAAACAACAGATAAGTAGGCCAGCAGTAATTGAGTTTTGCTAAGTTTGGCTGGTGAGAAATGGCTCCAAAATCTGAACCTGTAAAGAAGTGTTTTTCAAACTTGGCAACTTTAAGGTATTTGGATTTCAACTCCAGAATTCCCCAGTCAGTACACTGGCTAGTGAATTCTTTAACTCCACCCATCTTCTATGAAGCTTCTAATTGTGGTTTATTAGCTCAGTCAGGGCAATTGTCTATTAGGCATTTACACAACTGATTTAATATTTTGTCTACCTGTTTGTCTGCATTCCTTCCTGCTGGTTGCCCATTTTTGAACTCAAAGATCTGTTGCCTTAGTTATCCTGTCTTCATACTGTGTGTGGAAAAAGTTTCATTTAGAGAGGAAAAAAACCTTTTCGAAGTATTTAATAAACTACTGTGGAATGCAAAGAAATGGATCAACTTTTTCTTTGGCATTTCCCAATCTTTCCCATTCTGTTGACCTCTATATACATTGATCTCGGAATTCTATATACATTACACTCGGAAATTGTCCTCCCAGTGTGACCAATGGGTTTGTTGACTGGGAGTTTTGGAAGTTACAGTCTGGAGAATACAGAATTCAGACTAACATAGCCTAACACTGGTGCATGTCCAGTGTATCTTGAATCACACTGCAGCAGTTAATTGCTATTGTCCAATCCATACTGTTTTGTAAACATGCTTGACTTCTGTCCTCATGAAACAGATGTAGGTACAATATTGGCACATGGTTGGCTCTAAAGTAGCATAGGATGGTTTCATTGCCAAATTATCCATTACTGGTGCAGCTATCATTAATTTGGTTCTAGGCTATGCAGGTGTATAGATTTCGTACCAATAGGGACACAGTCCCAGTTACATACAATCTGTTTTGACAGCATCAAGCTGTTTGGATGTAACTCGGCAGAACAAAGAGCAACCTTTGCCAAGTGATGATTTGGAATGCAGCTTCCATGTCAGATGTTTCCCCCACCCACTTCATCTTTCTTATTTAAATTAGTTCAGAAAATGCCTGCCAAGATTAAGGTCAGATGTGTGAATAGCAAATGTGTCCTGAACTTTGCTCAAGCTTTGCTTTAGGCCTCTCTTCCTCTTCTTGTTTTAAAGAATTGGTTGTAATTTCAAAGCAACACATCTCAAATGGCTTTTTTTATTTTTAGAACTCTACAGGTCCAGGAAGGGTCCTCCTGTTTTAAAGCTTTCAGCATACAAAAGGCAATGAGAAATTAAGACTCAATGCCATCATTCAATTAGTAGATCACGGGGGAATTATGGGGGAGGGGAATTGAATGTCAGGACTCCAACAAATCCACCTCCATTCAAATCATAAGTCTCTAGACGCATCTCAGAGAAAAGAAAATTGATTTATTAGAAGTGGACATGTTGGTGTTGGCTGGATGCAGCCAATACTAAAATACATCATTCAATTCCCCCTTGACCCTAGTCTTCCCCACACCCACTGGATGTGTATTCTCCAATGGGACACATCCATCCCCAAGAGTCATCAATCATGCTCTCCAATAATTTTCTTGTGCCCTGACAACTTTGGGCTGCTAGGGTGATTATCTGGGCATTTAAGGAATATGCTATTTTCCCCCACTCCATTTTTCTGGCAGCTAAAAATACCAAAGGAGTATCTTTTTAATTGACATTGAAATTTGATGATGACCCATCTCAAAAGCTCAGGAGTTACATCAGAAGAATATGGCACCACAAGGGAAGGGTTAGTTGTGGCATTTGGGAATCAATTTGATTATTCTGAAAGATGGACTTACTGCTGCTCGGTGACAAAGATCTAGAAGTCAACTTTATCAAACTTTCAGCACCAACTTGTGAAGCGGCTTAATCCGCCACAAAGATCAGCAGGTATGATTGAGTCTAATCTCTGGATCTGATATTTTCCTCACTTTGGATATAAGAAGTAGAATGATTGATTCCCCTGGAAGCAAAACATTCAAAAAAAAAAAATCAAACGGTTGATTGTCTGCAGGCAGATAGAATCAGGGAGAAAGGGTCAATTCACTATCAAGCATCATGCCTGATTTTCCAATCTGTTTGATTCTGAAAGGTTTAATAGCAATAGTAGAAAGAAGCAGAGAGAG